TATTGCTTTACCTATTTATTCTTACCTTAAGGTTTTAAAATTTATCATATAGATATTCTTCTGATACCTAATGAAGTATCTGAAAAATGTACACCCTACAACTGGAGGACACTCTGACCATGTCACTGATTAGCCTACATGCGTACTTTCGAACACACCGACAAGATGGGTTTTATTTCATCTTTTCCCAATTTTACATATAATGACTTAGCATAATTGCTCTGTACCTTGTTTTAACGTCGTGTATAACCAACTATCTTCTCTACAAAAGTAATGATATCATCAAATGGCACCAACTAAACTAAATAGTTTTAAACGTGGTGGAGCGATGATTGGAGTGGGGCATGCCCGCGGACGCCCGTTGCCCGCGGTTTAGTCAATTTAATACAAATAAATATTTTATTTTAAATTACAAAAACTTAGCGCTGCTCAACCGAATTTTAATAGGTAATTATAACTACCATGTCTCGTGAAATATAACAAAAAGGTTAGCATCTTCCTATGCATCTATGTCGTCTATTGTGCTGTTGTTTGCTAGCAAAGCTTTGATGTAGGAAATGAAACACTTGCATGATCCAAACGATATAGCATATTTATATCTGTTAAAAAATTTAAAGCAATGTATGCTAACTCTTTATTAACAGTATGTCCGTTCGATGTGTTCTCTCTTCAGCTGTGTACTTAAATGCAATAATATGTAACATTATGCTAGCTATACGATCATGGTCGGGAAGGTTATCCAAAGTTTTACAACAAGTTTTCGGAATACTTGTATTATTGCGTAGATATTCGTACAGATCATCATTCCTTTACTCTAATAATGCGTCATCGCACGTATCCGTGAGAAAAAGTATAATCTCTCGCATGACATAAAATGTCGGAGTAGCTTTCTGACCACAACTGTACTTGAATAACTTAAGGGGGGAAATACATTTAGACGGCCGAAAATGATCCATTTTTGGGGAATTTTTGTTAGGAGAATAAATTATATGACATTTTAAAAAATATATGTACTATTTACTTATACTTTAAGCTGTTTTAATATATTTTTTATTTTACATAATATTATTATAAAAAATGGCGGAGATATTGTATTGTCTTCCGAAGACGTCGGCACGCGAGTTGCCAATCTGTGAGACTTCTGGAGTCTGATGTATTTATCTGAAACATTTAAACCAAATTTTTTTTATTAAAGGTTATACCTTCTAAGTGAACCTAACTCCAGTGAAGAAAAATTAAAAATGGAAGAAATATACGCTTAACAAAAAAAATCCATTTTTTTCGCAACATTTTCGTCGTATTTTGCAAGAAAAAAGTACTTTTTTGTTATGATTGTGTATTAACATTTAGGTTCACACAGAAGCAGATGTTATTATTTATATTTTAAGCCAAATTTCAGGAGAATCTGTTAAATAGTTTTTGAGCTACATTTCCAGCAAGTTTTTAAAATGTAGTTTCGAGAAAAACGCGTTTAAAGTTTTGAGAAATGAAAACTCAATGATTTCAAAGATTTACCAGCTAGTCAGCGATTCCAGGTCCATATAGTAGCCCTTCAGTCTCCTCATAGAGCTGATTTGCCAGCATAGCTTGTTCTCGGGCTGCTTGCCGAGCTTCTTTAGTTAAAGAGCTGCACCGCTCCTGCCGAATAACCCGCTTCTCGTTGATGTCGTCAGCGAAAGTTTTGCTCTGCCTTCCAATAATAATATCTAAGCCACTCATATTTTTTAAAATTGAAGAATATCCTTCATTAAACAATCCTGCTGCTATAAATGCTGAGATTTCGATTATTTTCAGCCCAGAATACAGATGCTTGGGAGCGAATCGCCAAATCGTTGAATTAAAACTTTCGTTTGCATTTTGTGTGTGGCCGCCCAAGCATCTTTGCAGTAGGTCCTCTTTCGACAAATGTTCAAAAATTGGAAAGTTATGCTTCTGCACATCTGGGTGAAGTGACGCAGAGTGCTCCAGAAGTTCCACAGTTGCTTCAATAGCTTCACTCTTTTTTCATTTGCACCAGCTATCGGCTCCCGGTTCTATCTCTTCACTTTCTTTCACTATCTTTCACTATCTTTCACTATCTTTCACTTTCACTATCACTATCACTTTCGGAGCTACAGTGACCGTTGACTAAAAACGTTCCGTACAGATCAAATTCTGGAGACAGTTTGACTGACCTCAACCCAGATCTTTTCTAGCAAAAATAGTGGGGACACAAAATCTACGAAACATTTGCCCTACATAAAATAAAGATGGAAGGGAGACAAAGAAGGGTCCGCATTCCTGTTCCGAGTGCGCGTCGGTATACCTGCGGCGCGCTCCGGCATCGAACGGAGACGGGTCATGTCTACAGGCTATAACATCAAAAGGGCTTCGAATTTTACTTTAAAACTTTGGCATCACATTTTCGAGATGTTATACTAACATTTTAAGAAAAAAAAATTGAAAATTTTGAAGGTTGTAAATGTATTTCCCCCCTTAAACATGGAATTCATATTCCTAGCAAAGAGCTAGGAAAAAGCTAGCTCATCTATTACTAGAATTTTTTCTTTCCGTACATTGCTTGAGCATACTGACTATCTGCATAAATCTACACAGTTCTATATAATTTTATAAATTTATACATGTTTTTATATGAACAATTTTTATATAATTATCTGACGTTATACAATTGTACATATTATAAATAAGCGTATTATAAATAAGCAATTTTTGACATTACAATTTGTTTCATCTAAAACAATGTCTAAATGTATAAAGTTATACAGAACTGTGTAGAATTGTAAATTTGTACGCACACCACACACAAACACATACGCATACAAATATACATGCAAAAATTACATATCCTATATGTACATACAAATATACACGAACATAACAAGTATGCCTTAATACAAATATACACGCCAAAATATATACTGGCGCACGCTAGAGAGAGAAAGAGGGGCGCACACCACACACACAAACACATAAGCATACAAATATGCAAAATAAGTACAAATATACACGAACATAACAATATGTGCCTTAACCCTATATACGCATACAAATATACATGCGAAAATATATAATGCGCGCACGCTAGAGAGAGAGAGAGAGAGAAAGAGAGCGCACACCACATATACACACACATACGCATACAAATATACATGCAAAAGTATATAACGCGAGCACGCTAGAGAGGAAGAGAGAGAGGCGTACACCACACACACACACACACAAACGCGCGCGCGCGCGCGCACGCACGAACGCACGTACACGCACACGCACTTGGGTTCATACTTGTAAAAGAGTGGGGCGAAGGAATAGTGGAAGGAGAGAGGTGGCTATCAAAATTCGGTTGAGCAGCGCCAAGTTTTTGTAATTTAAAATAAAATATTTATTTATATTAAATTGACTAAACCGCGGGCAACGGGCGTCCGCGGGCATGCCCCACTCCAATCATCGCTCCACCACGTTTGAAATTATTTAGTTTAGTTGGCGCCATTTGATGATATCATTACTTTTGTAGAGAAGATAGTTTTGTAGTGAAGATATTTTTGTAGAGATGCAAAAAAGATAGAGTAACAAAATATATTCGGTCGTTGGAGCTTATACTTGGTGCTTTTTTTATCTTTTTTTAAAAAGGTAAGTTTTTAGGTGATATCACCCCTTTTGTAGTGTTAAATATCTCGTACTGTTTATTTATCAGAATATAATTGTGCACAATTATTATTTTATTACGAGAGAGAACCTTTTTTTTACGTAGGGAAATCCTTTATGGATACCCGGGCCCCCCTCTGGGAAGGGAGTTTACTAATGGCCCGGGTTATGTGGGACTGCCCCTCTATCTAGCGAGGTGCGCGCCTGCTAATATTCGGCGCGCTGGCTTACCCACTAAAACCCTGCGGTGGTCTGCGCGGTGCTTTACTTGGGGGGGGGGGGCAGC